CCCCCGTATCAAGCCTTGACTTATACTTTTAAAAATCTGACACTTTATTTTAGGACCACCTAAATTTGTAAACAAGGTTTGAAATTAAGAATTGAGATAAAGAGTTAATTACTTATTTGCCCATAAAACCCCCTAATTTCATTTCAAAATTTAATAAAAAGATTCTTAACCTGCTAGTGGTATTGTCTAGAAAAAGTGATGGAGTTACCTTGCTTATTTTTACTACTAGCTTTCCTCTTAATGGAAGATTTGAATGAAAAAGCAATTAGGGGTGGGTGGGTGTTAGGTTTGCTTTTGTTGCATACAAGAAGTATATGACAAGTGAAAAGAGATAACAGAGCATGAAGTAGAATAGACAGTTCATGTTCCTTGTAACACCCCCCCCCACCGTTGTCTCATCTTTAAAAATAAAATAATCTTAAACATTCAATAGCATTTGTTGGAAAAGTATATGAGGAAGAAACCTGGAACCTTTCTTTATTATTATTATTATTATTATTATTATTATTGTATTTGAGAGAGCACACAAGTGGGGTACAGGGGCTGAGAAAGAGAGAGAGAGAGAGAGAGAGAGAGAGAGAGAGAGAGAGAGAGAATCCTAAGCAGGCGCAACACTTACACAGACCTCAGTCCCACAACCCTGGAATCATGACCTGAGCCAAAATCAAGAGTCAGATGCTCAACTGACTTAGCCACCCAGGCACCCCTCCTTTTTTTTTTTTTTTTAAATGAACCAGAGAATGAAAGTAAAGAATGTTGTAGAGACGATTAGAAGACAACTTTATTTTCTTTAAAAAAATATATAAATTTTAGCCCTTAATCTTTACTTGTCTACATTCCTCTAAAAACTGTGACAATTATTCATGTTCTAGTTGAACAGACCTTATATACCTATATCATATATATATTCAGGATAAAAGTGTATTTGGGTATTTTGTTGAAGACAGATAGTATATATTAAGAATATTCCAAACTATTCAGGCATTGTTTAGCAAGCCTAGTATAGATGTGTTTTAATGAGAGGTGTTCTAAACTCTAGTTTAAAGGCTCTGAAACTTCAATTAAATGTTGAAAGGCAGATAAATTGTTCCCAGAAATAACTTGAAAATGTGTGCAAACTCCTTGAACTGAATTTAAAGGATTTTGTACTATTCCCATTTCCTGAAAGAGGTAAGCAAGTTTGAGAGTTTAATATAACCATAGATGGTCCTAAATATAAAGTTGTTTTAGCCCTTTTCCCCTTAAATTAACACAGTATAACTACGTTTTAACTACAAGTTTAAATGAACAATAAGTTAATTTGAAAGGGGACTTTCAAATTTCTTAGTTTGATTTGATTCTTAGAAAGTAAATAAAAGCTGTTTGAAGTGGGATTGTAGACCCCACATTAGTAGCTTTCCTCATGTTTCTGGTGCTTTTATCTTTTCTGTTCCCTTCCTTTTCTCCGTATTATTCCTAGCTGTGTCTATGACGTTCTCTTTTCATATCATTCTGTTTCTCTCATGTTACTCAAAGCTGTAGTTTGTTGCCTCTTATCTGGTTTTGATTTTAATTGAAGAGTACAATGTCTCTTTCTAGACAGCAATTTACTGAATTTGAGTTTTGCTTTACTTTTGTTGTTTCATGAGTAAATTCCAAATAACAA